CCAAACTGTTATTTCAGTGCGGGCGAATTTCGCGGATATTTATTTACGAGGAGTGCGTGACAGAGGTATGCGAAGCGGAACGGAATTGGCGCGTTGTGTTGCTGTTTCTGTTTTCTTCATTGAATGAAGAAATTTTCTGGTCGTCAAGCTGTTTTTCTTTGTTCGATTCATCTAATAAACTTGGATTTATATTTACCAGCCACTCTGACTCTTCGTCGTCGGAAATGTGATTCCAATTGTCCGCCACTTTTTTTATATCGTGACTACAATCAAATTCTTCGCTTGCGCGATGCGAGAAAACCTGTTTAACCGGTACTCTACAATAGACGAGCACAAATACCGCGTGATATTTGTACTCGTCTATGGCGTTATTTGTACTCGTCTAAGTGTAGTTGGACAATAAAAGCGTTTATTATCACGAGAGGATAAGTTGCCTCTTGTAACTAATTTTTTGTTTTGTATTTTTTTTATTTGCTTTTGATCGAGACTGGTTCTTTATAATTATATGAAGTCTGGTGATATGATGTGTACTTATAATAACCATGCACAGCCCTCAAGTTGTTATTACAGTGTACATATGAAGTTTTGGTAACCAGTTTTAATAATAATGTTTGAATCCATTTCCTAGGTAGTAAGAGAGTGGAGTGGGAGTATCCAAAACGACATGGCCAAGGTCATGTGGTGTTTGAAAAGACAGGGGTTGAGGCTGTTGTTCTTGACAGTAGTAAGTCTACCCTGAAACACGTGCCAAGTGATTTGGTGTTGCATGCTACATCAGATGAGCTAGGTTTACCTGGATTACTTGAGGATGATGAATTTCCACTCAGTCCAGCAATTCAACTTACCTGTATCTCAAAGAGTAAGTTGACAGGACCCCTTGAGCTTCAGATACCGCATGGCGCAAACATGGTGCTATCTTCTAATAAATGGAAAGTCGTTTTGAAGGAGTTGAAAAACGGCAAATGGGTAGTTTTAAGTTATGTGAAGGGTAGTGGAATTGAAGAATTCCTCCCCAAAAGCAATCATGTTAGCTTTGAGACAGATCATTTTGCAACATTTGCAGTGGTTGGACACTGCAAAGAACAGTCCTTACCAGTATTCAAAAGAATGAAGGTCATGGCATTCTGTAGTGACACCAGAGTTGGAGAAGACCTTGTTGTGAGGCTGTATTGCTTTGATGATTGTGAGTGGTCATTTGAGGTAAGCTCTTGGGAATAACAAGTGTAAATTGAAAATCCTCCCCTTTCATTGAGCAATAATTCAAGTCATTCGATATCAATTAGACAAAAAGATATTTTTGGGTTAAAAAAAAATTTAATTAAGAAAAAAATCATGAATAATTAGAGGGTTGGTGTTTTAAACCCAGTGACGTGTTTCCAAGTTCTAAGAAGCTTTTCGTACATAATTGAAGTCTTGGTTAGGATCTAATTCTGATTTTAAATTTTTGCTGGTCTAGTTCATGGAAAGTACCAAACTTCCAATCATGGTTACCCATTTTTTAAAAGTTTGATAGATATTTTTATGCAAGTAAGAAATCTGATAAAACTGGTTTGACTTAACCCCACAGAATCTTTTGAGAAGGGAGAAAAAGGAAGGTGGAAAACTCATTTCATCAGTGGATTCTTTTGATTTTACTGTTACTCGCGAAGAAGATGTAGAAATTGTCATCAAGGATAGTGATGGCTGGAAGCTGGAGAATGGTTGCCCAACGGTATTTTGCAGACTTTGCAAGTTTCATACAAAAGAGGGACATTTAAAGGATTATTTAAGATCTTAAAATTTTTGCACTTATTTATTTATTTTTTCTTGTCTTTGAGGGTGGTGGTATCTCTTGGTGATTTTGAGAACATTTACACTTTATTCTCCTTTATCTAGAAAATCAGCTATGCATCAGTCAAGAACTCTTTCTGTACAACTCCCAGATGCAACCTGGTATTTAGCTCTGCATCCACTAAAAAGAAAAGCAGCTTCTTTTCCATTATTGTTTTGACTCAGGCATCCTCTCAGACTTTCATGTATGCACGCACTGCTATCAAGGAGGTACATGTACATTTTAGATGGTAAATTTTATAGCACAAAATGATTTTAAATTTCAAGGTGTAAATTTGCGAGAAACTCAGTGGACTTCATTTTAGTGTTTTTAAATTTGGATCTGATCATTTATTTTTACAACTTTTTTTCCTTGCTGGGATCATATTGGGTGTTTAGGACCAGAAACTAATAATTTTAACATAAAGGCGTAAATGGTTTGATGAAAATTGTCAAAGTTAATGAACAACACCATTGAGAGTTCACCAGCAGTGTAAGATTAGCATCAGAAGGTTTTTCTGATCTTTTGAATCTAGAGATACGACAAGAAAAAAAAGCTTTAATTCTTTATTTGTTTTATTGTAGGATCCATTCTGTTGTGCAAATCAGAGCTCGTTTCCAAATGCTGTGAATGGTGAGCTCTCTGTACATATTGAGGGGTGAAATAGATGAAAGCCAGTTAAGCATCATTGAGTTTTAAAGTATCAATAATTATTATATACTAAAACAGCACATAGCGTTGAAGGTGCGCTCTGATTGGCCACTCATACTGCAGGTTTCCTTTGTTATTCACTTCCAAGCAACGCACACAGAATTTAATCCTAAAAATATTGTAGTCATTGCAGGAATAAATGAGTTAAAACCATTTTTTTGGGCCAAATTATTTCTTTATTTTACTGAGATAGCCACCGCCACCTCAATAGTGGTATATTATTCTTTTTGAATAGAAAACGACTTCATGTGCAGAGAGTTATGTGCCCGAGGGGAATTAACTTTTCATTCCAGGGAATTTGTTTCCGAGAGAAAAGATTATAATATTGGTTTAATTGATGCAGAAAGTCTTAGGTAAGTTGGCCATGTCATTACTTTCTTCTTTCAGAAGGAAATCAAGTCACAAATATGGCAGATATCACTGTTGCAAACGGTGGAATGGGAAAAGAACGAGACATCACAGACTGCATTATTCAGTTGCAAACTTGACACTGAACCCGATAGTCATTAGCAATGGTGGGCTCCAATACGTGAACTTTAGCCTTCAGGGAATATGGCAGATATCACTGATGCAAATAGTGGAAAGGGAAAAGAATAGGACATCACGGACTGCATTATTCAATTGCAAACTTGATACTGAACCCGATAGTCATCATAAATGATGAGTTTCAATACGTGAACTCTAGCCCTCATGAACTGGACGTGTTACATTGAGTATATGTTTGTTCTAATTTGATAAACTAAATAAAAACTTCAAACTTAGATAAAGGAAAAGTTATTGAAAATCGGAAAATGAATAGTTTAACGATAAAAGGGTGTGTTAGGAGATTTTAAGATCTGAAACCCCCTCGCCGGCAGATGAAACTTTCACTAAGTTTCTCTAACTGAAATCTTTTATTTCATTAGCAGAAGATTTCATCAAAACTGTAGAGGATATGGATTATTAAGGCCTGTATAAAGGATATCAGAGGTTATATACCTTAAACTATTGAATTTTAGCAAAGTAGTAGCGCTCACCTGTATAACTAATGTATTATTATAAACACAAAGTAGTGTTCCCTGTGAAAAGCCAGATGTGATAAAGTAATGTGCTGAATGGCGAGAGCAACGATAATAAAAAGTATTCATCCACAATGAGAAGTCATGTAATTTGTTTTGTCTATTCTGATCTATTCTCTAAAACGGAGTGCACGACAAGCGTGTGGTGAGCAAATGCATGGCCTGTAAGTTTGGCAAGTATGAGGTATTAACCAGAAGTGAAATTGCATCAATATCGTTAGAAACACTTATGGTTATTTACTCTCTTCCTTTCCACATAACTACAGACGTTTCAACACGTAACGCCGGCAGCCTGATGATCATCTCGTGATTGCTGCAAGATACGTGTGAAAATATCTAAAATATTCCCTTTTCTGGGTATGACCTTGAGCAATTCGTCAATGTCCTGTGATGCACGTGAAAACATTTTTCAGATATGCCTTCTCATTAGCAGTCAAGATGTTGCATTGATAAAGATAAGTACATAATGAGTTAAAGTTCCCAATATTCCCAATTAGATTTATGTCACAGCTTTGAAGGGCTTCTAGGTTTAGTTTTGGCATGCCCGGCCACTTTCAAAACGACCAGCTCACAACCACCTAGATATTCTCTCGTTACAACTGAGCTTTTCACTGACTTCTCAGGGCTTAATATATAGCAAGTCGATACACCAAAACCTTATTTGTCTTGTACAATGACGACTCAGGAAAGCAATATTATTGACAGAGAAAGAGCTGGATACTAATATCAAGCTGGGTCTGATTTGGTGATTCTTAAACCACATAACTGATGAACCAACTCCGACCGCGGGAAACACTGCGCACATCAGCGCACATTTCAGCTTCAGATTTGAGCGATTTTTGTTCCGGATATATTCTCGGCCATGGCGTTACTTGACCCAAAATCATATTTTAAAAATGTGCTAGCCGTCGGAGATGACAAGTTTTCATTCACAGTTTGTTTGGCGTCAGTGTTATCAAAGACATATGTTAAATTCGCTGCAATAAAGTTAAACTCGCGCGCGGCCTTGCCGAGTAACGACTTCGCTGTGGAAAACATTGAGAAACTGTCCTCGTTTAAGAACATCGAGATCTTACACGAGTTAGGTCCAACAGATCTTCGTCGAACATTTGGTCCTAGAACGATTGATCGGGTGGCAGGGACAGGGGGAATATTCTTGCATAATCCAAGGAGAGAGCTTGGAACTACGAGTATGGTTAGTAGATTGTTTTCTTGTCTGATCCTTCTTACTAAGTGCTGAAGAGCTAGAGGTCCTTCTTCAGCAAAAAATTTTCGAACTGTCTTCATTTTATTTGATGCAAATGGCTGCTGACTTCAAATCTGGAAATTTTACGTTCAGTTTGCGCCAGCTGCCTCCACGAAAAATGATCCGTTGATAGATATTTTTATGCAAGTAAGA